TTAAGGGTTACCCGTATGGAGAGGAATGGGCATGTGTCAATGTTGAAGAAATAATTGACAGAGCTCAGGAATAAATGGTACAAAACCAGGCCACAGAAAACCTGTCCAAATACGTGAGGTAGCACTGGAAAACTCAGTAGCTGTCTGTCAGTCATGGTTTATATCCTGATCATTATGTGTCAAGCTCTGCACTTAATTCTCTAGATCTTTCCCCTGATGTTATTTTAACTAGTTAGCACAAACAGAAGAAAGATGAAAAGAAAAGAAAAATAAATGTATTGTGAGCCTTTTTCTGTAGAAATAATTTTACTTTTCTGATGCAGGTGAGAGGTATAAATTTCTGCCACTCCTATCATCATCATCATCATCATCATTGTCAACTAAGCACAAGGGTTTATTTGACTAGCTGGTCATCATCTAACTAGAATATAGAGATAAGTCATGAAGTCAAATAGCAACTGAAGATGACAGATAAATAATACATAGAAAGACTTCCACCAGCATCAACTACAGACAACAGCAAATTAAAACCACAGTGGGACAAAAAAAAATACTATATACCTAGCAGAATGGCTAAAATGAAAAAACACAGCTATACAATATTAATAGACAAAAATCACAATTTTAAATGTGTGCTAATATCAGATGCCACCATCAATGACAAATAATTAGGTGCTGAAATAAATATGGCTTATGGAGTTTTATATAACTAATATTCTAAAATATGTAATTGCCAATATCAGTATGTCTCAGTATTCCCAAGTCTTTGGAACTTATTACAGATTTATTCTTTTTATTAGAGTGAAGATTAAAGTGTAGTCTCAAAACAAAAAAAAATTAGTAGACAAAAAAGAATGCCTGAAAAGCCACAAGGAATCAGACTATTAACTATTTACAAAAGCAAACAAAAATCTCACCAAAACCTATAATGCAGAGAATTCAGTGTATATCTGCATATATAGTTATAATAAAATTGTCTTATCTGGGATGATGGTACTCCCTCCAACAGCCAAAGACCATCTAACAAAAACCCCAATATTAGACATAAGAAGTCCTCTTTTAAGTTGTTGGCCAGAAATGTCTAAGAGACTCCCAAAACACACAGCTTATTGTTGTTGCCCTTGGTTGCCACTACCCCCCAGTGGAGGAAGGTAAGGCCCTATTTCTGAAGACACCATGCAATTCAGAAACAGGGACCAGAGACTCCTGAGCTGGAAGTGATCTGAATGCCCCCTCCCTAAGGACTACTTTTCATGGTACCAAAGGAGGGAACCAACAACAGTCCTACCCAGCTATGCCACCTATGAACCATATCAATAACTAGCATATCACAATAACCCTATAGGTGAAGTAATGATACACATACCTTGGTAGTAACCAACAACTCTATAATTGTACTTAAGACCCACTCGACAAGAAGGATACCATGCCTAGTACTGAAATCTAGCCAACTGCTCAGTGCAAGTGAAGTCATGGATGTTGGAGGAGAATCTACAACTACTAACTTACTAAACCAGCATAAACCCTAACAGCAATCTATAAACCTTTGTCCTTAAACACCCACAGGTAAGTGTAGTTTTCACTCGCCATCAGGGAAACTACTCTTTGCACTAGCTGGAGACTAGTTCAGAAAAGCACAACCAATCAAAGTGCAGAGTTGTGGATCCCAGTCCCAGTAATACAGCTACAATACACTCCTGCACCTAAGGCTCATGGAACATTGTGGAAGAAGGGGCAGAAAGATTGTAAGAGCCAGAAGACCAAGGAATTCATTGTGAGATTATGTCTCTTAGTAATATTAGAAGGTACATCCATAAAATCTCACCAACATCTGAGCTGAACAAGGTTGATACCAACTTACATGCTAAACTGGACAGAGAAAAGCCCATAATACTTCAACCCTAAGTAAAGAACTATAGGCAAATGAAGAAAGCACAGAGTGGGAGAGGTAGTTTTACCCAGGGAAGTGCACACCAAGTGGCTGTCCAGTGCCAAATGGTCACCCCAAAACATACACACACACACACACAAACACACACACACACACACACGTGTGTGTGTGTTTGTGTGTGTGTGTGTGTGTGTTCAGTAACATTTTACAGACTCAAGGGGTTGTACTTAGCAATGTGTGTGTATATATGTGGTGCTTTGAGCTGGAATGTCCTCCACAGACTCATCTGTTTGAAAGCTTGATCCCACGTTAGTGGAATTGTTTGAGAAGGATTAGGAGGTGTGGGCTTGTTGGAGAAGGTGTGTCACTGGCTTTGAAGTTTCACAAGCCAAAACCAGGCCCAATGTCTCTTTCTGCCTCTGGATCACATTCTAAAGCTCTCGGCTACTGCTCCACCACAATACTTCCTGCTTCCTGTAGCTGAATTTTTTTCTGTCTCGCCTGGTCCCACTGGAAGGTTTCTTTCCTGCCCATTGGTCCCCACAGCTGCTTATGAAATAATCACGAAGAGACTAATATTAAATATAATTGCTTGGCCTATGGCTTAGGCTTATTAATGGCTAGCTCTCTCTTATAAATAAACCCATTTCTACTATCTGGGTATCACTATGTGGCTGTGGCCTTCCCTCTCTTCTTCCATC